TCCGTAGTTAATATTAAAAGAATGCTTGAGTGATTTACACAACAATAGTTCACACTGAACTTAAAAACATTCCTTTTATTTACATTTTACAAGTTTAAAAGCACCAATAATATACTCAGTGTTTGAATTTGTTGCTGCCCTATATCGTTACATTTTTATTTACGTCTCTGTAGCCTCATTGTGACGTCACTTTAGCGCGAGTTTCACCGTGTATATTTCTACGCGTGAGTATACACAAAAATGAATTTCAAATCAATTTTACAGTTGGCTTAGTAGAAAAACATAGCAACTGTAAATATATAATAACGACTAGAATTGATCTTGTTGCCATGAAAACTAGTAGTTTTCCGTCCGACAGAATAAAATAATTATTTTACAATATCAAGCTACTTCACAAGATATTCTGTTATAACTCGCTCGTCTGCATACAAATAACGCTGTCTTTTAAGAATAGACAATATTAAAGATTTCGAACATTCTTAAGATTGACCCTGGTCGCCCAAAAGCAAACCCACAACATTTACCATTACTCAACTCGGCAAGGACAAGAGTAAGGTTAATCACTTTAAAATCAAACAAAATAAATATTTAGCATTTTGAAAATACTTTCATCTTTAGGAATATCATAAAAAAGTAATAAGATACGAAAATAGCTGGGAAAAATATAATTTTGAAACACTTTTCTGTGAGCTAGTGGAAATGCCGACGTCGAAAAACAAGTAGCGACAAAGCTAGTATCTATCACGATCTATGATCCCTGAAAGTTTTAATTTGTTGTTTTTGAGATTATCCGTGTAAAAAATTCGTTTTAAATTCAGAAAATGGTCATTAACTTGGAAGTGGAAAAGACATTTCCAATTTCGTCCTGGACAAAATTACTTCAGATTACGACAAATTGTTCGTGCAAATATGACTTGAATCCACCCAGAGGTCTTCGAGAAATTCCTTGCACAAAATTAGAAGGTCGGAAAACAAATAATAAAAAGAAACAGTAGATCACTTTAAATCTCTCGTTAAAACGGAAGTCCCGAATAATAATAATAATAAGAAAGAGAGTAAAACAATATGTTACCAAAAGTTCCTTTGGGGAACATAATAAAAGAAAATGTCAACAAATTTATTTCAGGACATTCCGTGCTGACTTTATGATTCCATGCCGATTATTCCTTTAGAAGAAATACTTGTTTTCTTATTTTTATAATCAGATCGCAAGATGTAGAGATGTAGAGTGAAACTCAATAAAGTTGTATTATTCTTGTTTCCTACATATCACTGTCATAAAACTATGAGAAAAGAGCAATTGTCTTCAAAAATGTTATTTTTTCTCTTGTTGAACATTTATTTTATATATGAATAAATGTTAAGAACATGTGATTCTTAGTGTTTCCATAACCAGGGAAATTCCAAAACAAAAATTCGTTTTCGACTATGGTAGAATTTTTATCGTAATAAAACTCATTAGCTCATATGACTTAATTAAAATTTTACATCATTCAAAATTATGGATCTGAATGAGGAGGCTTTGAAAACGATTTCAAAACGATTTCGATTTTTTATGTAAACTTTATTTGTTTATAGGTGTTATAAATAATTTTATTTGATCATATAAAAAATTTGGTAACTCCTATTAAAATGGAGTGATAAATGAATGAATTAGACCAAATAAAAGTTTGATAACAAAAACAGTAATAGAGTGATATGAGAGTGTATTGGACTACTGTGAAATGATACTGGAAAGAATTAACCATATAAGAGAGAAAGGTTTAAGGGGGGGGGGGGGCTGAGACTCTTTCTATATGCAGTGTTATCACTTATTGTTAAATAAGAATTATAAAGTTAACAAAATGAAAAACCTCATATTGTGTCTATTCAGCGTTTGTTCTCTTGGGGTAGAGATGAGGCTACAGGTTTATCCATTGTTTTAAATTGAGACGTCTATAGAGTAGAATTACTGAATTCTTTTTGAGCTTGAACACTGTTTATCTTCGTTGGTGGCGTCTCCATATGAATGGAAAATTCTCGAGAGGGACGTTACACAATAAAAAAACAAACAAACAAACAAGCAAATATTTTTCTCGCATAATCACCAGTGTAAGATTGACTTGTCCGGTGTGAGACAGCAGTGTGAGATTTTTCTGTCTTACACTGTGTATTACTACGCCGCGAACGATAACGTAAACATTCCGTCTTTATCAAAAGAAATTGTAACAATGTTAAAAAATATTACATATACTTAAAATGTTGTCATTTAACTTATTAAGATAAACTTATTTTCATTCAAAATATTGTCGTATTTTCACTTTTTAAATGGCACTATTTTTAGATTGCGGAAGGATTCTTCTTGAATGAATGTGTACGCTATCGGATAGATAAGTTTTTTTATTCCCAGTTTTTATCTATCTAATTAATTTACATGGACTGAAATTCATTTTATCAGTTTACACAATGTGTAAACCATTTTCAGGTACGCTCTCTCTGATGGTGTATTTAGATTTTTAATTAGATGGAAATTTAAAAGAATATATTTTTAGCCCTATCATGGCGACGTCATTGACAGGCCGTTATTTTGGATAAAATAATGCGAGAAAAATAATCATTCATTACATACTCGTGTGGGAATAGTGAAATTCCACCTTGGGGCCAAGATTCACGGTCTAGGACTCGGCAAAGCCTCGTCCTAGACCGTGAACCTTGTCCCCTTGGTGGAATTTCACTATCCCACATTCGTAGTAATGAATGATTCTATTATTCTCTATCTCATATGCAATCATCATTTATAACGAAACATTTTATTGCCTTTTTAGCCAAATGAAGATGCATATGAAGTCTTAAATTGACGCAGATTAAAACAAAACACAATAAAATCTCAAACCAAAATAGTCAAATTCTCTGGATCTTTTCTCTTTCACAATTAATAGACAAATTTTCAGGTAATTGCGTTCTATCAAGGGTGCATGCCCCAGAGATTTATATAATATAACCACTGGCAATTCCCCCTATACCCTTGTTTCGCTTTGTGTAAATGATAAAAAAAAACCCGAAGAAAAATGGTATGGGCCTAGTGAGTTACTTTACTTTCAGTTTTAATTTGAACGCATTTTATTAAATCTTTAATAATATCTGGAAGTTTTGGTATTGCAATTTTTAGTTGTTGTTTTTTATTTATTTATTTATTTTTTTTTTTTTTTTTACTAATTTACATTGTTTTCTTTATTTTCTACTTTTTTGGTTAGCATGTAGAAAGACTTTGTATCGTGCCATTTCGTTATCTACATCTGGCTTCGGATTGGTGAAGGGGAACTTACACCCAAGTTGTTAACCAATCAAATCTCTTCCTATGTCACATGGAAAATAATAAGCAGCACCAAGATTTGTTATTTTCTTTCTTAATCAGTTCATTGAAAACCTTCTCCCTTTATTAGATTTTAAGTACCAAAATGTAGTCTTCAAAATTTGTAGACATCTACGCAGTCAGACACAACATAATAGAGAATGACATCGGGTGCATTAAAATTAGTACCGTATATGATTTACATTACTTAACACAGATTGACATATCTATTGGTGTTTCATCCCGAAAAAAAATACATGAACATGATGTCGGATTGTACTGTGTAAAGAACTTGGAAGAAATGGGAATGAATTCTAATGTCGGAATTCACAGTGTAATGGATTACTCATTGTCGGACAAGACAGATTCCCCTGTTATGTGTTTTACAAAAGAGCAATTTTAATTCAAGTTATCTGTCAAGGCATCTTCATGTGTTTGTAATTAAGATCGAAATATTTCTTACTTCCAATTTATTACGGCCCATGTAATGCATAGCTTTTACTTGCTACATTTGGTATGGAAAATAAACAATAATTCATTGTTTCAGGGAATAGTTCAACAACAAAATTCTCTCAAAACATAATCGTTTACAGATTTTATGAGATTTAAAAACAGTATTTAGAAAAAAGAAAATGTTTAGATGGCAATGATCAATATAGATGTAAAATTGTCTCTTTTATCAGAAAGTTTCCTCTTATTGATGGATGATCGTTAATCTGCACTTTCTCATACTTTGCGTATTCACCTGTTGAAAATAAAAGAAGATGAAAGAATGAAAGTAATGCTTCATTAACTTGAAAGCGTAACTCTTTACATCTCTAAGAAATTGTCCTTATTCATATGAAGCAGAATTTGTTCAAAATCTTTTACGTGAAAAGAAGAAAACACTTGCTGTGGCCTTCAACTCGACATTTAGATATATCGACGACGTATTGTCAATTACCAATGGTCATTTCCATTCTTATGTCGACACGATATATCCCAGTAAGCTTGAGATAAAAGATACCACAGAGTCTGACACATCTGTTTCGTATTTGGATATTTTATTAGAAAATTACGTTAATGGCAATCTAACAACAAAGCTTTATGATAAACGTGACGACTTTAACTTTTCAATCGCCTACTTCCCTTACTTATGCAGCAATATACCCTTATCACCTGCATACGGGGTTTATATCTCTCAGTTGATTTGATACGCAAGAGAATGCTTTACGAATGAACAATTTCTAAAACGAGGTAAGTTATTGACAAACAAGTTGATGAAACAAGAATATCAGCAATCTCGTTTAAAGTCATCATTCCGTAAGTTCTATGTCAGCAAATACAATCTATCATTAAGTCAAGTGCCGACTGACTTTTTTCATACTAATTGTTAGACCATTATTTACACACTGAATTGTCGACGGGTTTTGCTGTTATTTCCTGGTCAAGACAAGGACCACACAGCGTGTGTGACCGGTCGGTAGGGGATGCCCACTCCTTAATGGCACCTGATCCCACCTCTGATGTCTTAGAGGTCCGTGTTTGCTCTGCACCTATTTTGTAATGTTTAACAGACTTTCGAGCTCGAATACTGTTCGTTATCTCCACATATTTCATCCTATAACCATTTAACGTTCATTGACAATTCAACCAGTAAATACTGGTTATAAAAATTTAAATTGTTTACCTAGTGGCGTTTGATCATCATTATAGTCTCCCTGATGGATGAACCGGACAAAATTGTAGGACACCAAGGCCAGGTCCAATGTACTGGAGACCATGGACCGTTAAGGAAGGCGTGGTGACAGGCGTTGAACCACCAGCCTCCTCCATAAGCAGCAGCACAGTTACCTCCAATCTTCCCATCGTTGCTATTGTCGTTGTCTCTATCGGATGTACTGAAGTACATACCAGATAAAGTAGCATACTGTTCAGAGGGTTTTAACATACTGTCACCTAGAGAATCAATACAGGATATTCAATATTTTGTAGCTGCAGCTTTTTCTAAAAAAAATCCATATAATGAGTAAAATGCATTCCATATTTAAATACAAAATAGTAAATTTTCTGTCAATTACATTCGCGGCTAGGATAAGGCTGTCCGAAGAATGTCACATTGTACCAGCTATAGTAACTTCTCTGAACTACCTAGATATGACATCATAATGGCATATGACGTCAAGTCACTGCAAACATGACGGGTAAAGTGTCAAAACTTTTACATTCCTTTCACATGACATGTAGAATTTTGTTTACGTTGATGTTTAATTCATGTGCCTGGATTGTTGGTTTAAGCTTCAGTATCTTGTTATGATGGTGAATATTTGCAATATAATATCGTTATTCCTTTATCTTGCCTGACACGTACGTATTCAAACATTTACAGAAAATGAATGTGAAATGCTCCCCCTTATACGTCCGTAGACAGAGTCAGAATTTATATATCGTGTATAAATTAGACTGGCACAAGTGAATAATAAATATAGATTGAAGATATTTTGTGTAAATCTACTAGAGAAATATGTCCTCTAACTGAATATTGCTGGGGGATTGTAAATTCATCCCATGTTGTCTAAATTGCAGCAAAGAATGAAAAAATGCCCCCTTGTATGTGGGTAAGTTTAATTTTTTGTGAAATATTTTCTTAAGAAATAAAATTCAGACTTGCCCCCAGCACTTTATATATACCCAAGGATATGTTTAATTGATTTATGTAACAAGCCGTTCACAATAATTTTGTTTTTCACTTGTGCCGATGCCATTTTTGTGCAACATTTAAAAAAATTTATAAGTGTCCGTCACGTGATCAACACAGTCATGTGACATCACAAAAATGCTTTTTTTATTATGCCTTATTCAACTCTCTTTACAACTTAACTGTGCATGTATACATAGATTACAAATTGAAATCAAAACATAGCTCAAAATTAAATAGTATATATCTTATGCATATTAAGCGTTCGGACAGCCTTAACATAGCTGCATTTTCTTCCATTTTCCCTTTTCTTCTTTTTTGTTACATAGGTTGATAGACCGTGATGTGCAGTTGAGATGGCTAACCCATTTTGAGATTGAAAAACATTGTAAACATGATTTTGAACTACATAATTGGAGACACTTTGGTATTTTTAGTCTCTGACAGGATGTTAAGTCTCTCTATCTTATTAAAGACCAGGGTTTTTTTTACAATAACCTTGCTAAAGGGAAAGGAAATCAAAAGTTTTGATATTCTTCTGATATTCTGATATTCTGTCACACTGTTACAGAACTTCATTTTGATATTTTTCCACACTGTGTCAGAAAATCAGTTTTATTCAATAAATAAATTTCTGTGTCTCACAGTTGAAAATGTAATAAAAGGAAATAGATGAAAGGGATGATTAATTCCTATCACTTCAATTTATTGTCAATTATACGGAAGAACATCCGAGAAAGGTCACGACTTTCCATTTTGCATAATTTTTTTACCTCAAGAGAGGTAAAAAAAAAAGAATACATTAAAATAATTCATATAGCACCCTTTCTAATGTAACAATTAATTCAAGGAGCTTTACACTTTTAAAGTATGATAAAAGAAATACCACATAATTTTCTTGGTTAAGGTTGCTGAAATTGTTATGAAAATGAATGTACAGGAAAAATTTATTAGAGAGTTTAAATAAAAAAAAATACACAATGCAATAGGATGCACATCATTCATACTGATTACAAAGTAAAGAAAGATGTTACAGTAAATGTTCTCAGATATTAGATTTTTATATAACATAAATAATAAAGAAAATGTACTGTAAAGTAAAATGTTTTTATTTTGACTTTGTTTCCGATCAAATAACTTTCCTCGAACATTAAATTATCATACTACATGTATCATGAATTTTGTTGACATTATATGTCAAATATGTGCTGTAAACTACCTATTTTGTAGTAGTAAAATAATACAGCATTGATTGATTAATTGATTTATGTTTTTTAACGTCACATTTGAGAATTGTTCACTCATATAGAAACTTTGCCTTTAAATTTGGACATTTACTCGGCACTCAGGATCATTGAGCAGTGAGGGTTCTTTATCGTACCAACGCCTAACGTGACACGGGGCCTCGGTTTTTAAGGTCTCATCCGAAAGACCCGTAACTTTCACTTCAAAGTGCCGAGAGCCTGGCGAAGGAACAGTTGCTCCCTATTTTTTTTTATCGACATAGGTCAGTCACGGCCGTGATTCGAACACACGACCTTCCGATCACGTAGCGAACGCTCTATCGACTGAACTGCCGTGACGGTGTAGATAATGGAATTCATTACGAAACCCAAGGTAAATGACAATAACGGATCAAAGGTAGTTACTGGATATGCTTGCTACAAATTAAATAAATTGACATATTTTTTTCCCTTTTTGTTATTATAATATAAAATTACAAATACTTAGCAATGAGAGGATCTGTCATCGAGAAATTTGTGAAATATACCAAAATAGGAAATCGTGAAATATTAGAATTATTCGTGGAATCGAAGACATTTACAGTACTGTTGAATTATAGGATTTCGTGGTGGCTCAGTATTTTTGAAATATTTGTAGAATTCATGGGTACCCCTCATCTACGAATTTAAATCCTACACGATTTAAAATATCAGGGTTTTAAAGTCAAATTTCCTTTTGTAGTGAATACATAAAATTACTTCCCTACGATTATGTAAAATTTAAGCAATCAACGAAAATTTGCCCCAACGAATTTTGATAATTCCACAGTATATTACAAAAAGAAATGTATCCCCTAACAACCTTTCTATGTATAAAGTATATGGTTTGATACTTGACTTGAACTCGATGTACTTAGCTTGAGTACAAGATAATGATCAGTAATGATACCCCAGACTCAAATAAAGCACTACATAATGAAAAATCTAGAACTTGGTCAGGTGTCATCGGGGAGTAAGCATCTCCTGTCAACCGGTCACATCCGCCGTGAGCATAATATCATGATTGAGTAGACAATCCAAAAAATTCGGTATTAAATAATGACCCAAAAATCTGTATGAATATTGACGTCAAATATTCTTCCAAAGGACACATATCTTTTGCAAACAACGGCATTATATCGAACATAGAATTTGTTTAGAATGATTACGAATTATCTTTTATTAATGACTTAATTGAATTTTTAGGTGTTTTCGTAAAATATATTATCAACAAATATATTTCTACTGGTGTTTGCGACCATCTTTCTTTTCTCTAATTCCCCTCCTTCTCTCCATTCTCTCTCTTTTTCTTCCCCTTTCTCTCTTGTTCTACTTTTCACGCACCTAAGGTTCCAACTGCATCTCCTGCAAGAAAGAGTCTGTACTTCTCTGATTCATTGGAAACAGAGAATTGGTCGTACATTTCATACAACCTTGTAACATCCTCTAGCGTTATGGAAACATAGAGGGAGGAATTCTTTTCTTTTGTTAACTGATGCATAACTTCATTTCCTGTATCAACATATATATAAAATCATTTGAAAAGTCTATTGCAATACGATGAATTTTATTTTTTCATATAATTATACATTAATTATATTATTTTCCTTATCAATAGACATTTATGCTTTTTGTTGTCTCTTTCAAAGACCGTGCCACTAAATATTTTTTTCTTGTCATCTAAGAAATCAATTAAACAGAATACGTTAGTTTCGTTGAAAAATATTACCCAGTCTTAAAATAGGATCTAATTTTATGTATCATAACAAAGAATGTTTGTCTAATTCCATAGCAGATAGAAGTCTCTATGTGAATGAGATTTACACTTACCAATCCAGACATTCCATTCTGGTGCACCAAAACCATTCTTATAATCTATCCAATTCCTTTTAAAGTCCAGGGATCCATCGACCCGTTTCTGAATTACCTTTAAAAATAAACAATTATGGGAAAAAAACACAAACAAACAAACAACTAAATAATGCATAATAATGCAATTCATTCTTTCGTCAATCGTTATTATTTATATGTTATAAATATAATAAAAAATATTTATATTTTTCCATCTTATTATCTTTTGAGCAACAAAAACACTGATTTTTGAATTATATGATGTACTCAAATTTTGAAATAAACTACATACCGTCCATCCTCCGTCCATTGTCTCCATGTCGCAGTAAACTCTGACAGGACTGGTAATGGTACTATAGGGAAAAATTTCGTATACACCTGATTTTGAGAGACCATTTTCACGAAGATCCTTACAATCTACAGGAATAACTGAAACAGACAAAGAAATGCTGGAATCCCAATATATGTATTTATACAGGAATTATACCTGGAAGATAAATTAAGGTTAATTGCTGAAGCTAAATTGGAAGCTACTATGTAGATTATTTTAAATTGTTCTTCTTCTCTAAAATCATTTTGGTTCGATAATTGTTTTGTTTTTTAATTATTAATTTGAAAAAAAATAGTATTTTAAAAATCAATACAAATAATCCTAATATACTCGGTTGATAATTTAAACATTATTTGTATTACTTTTTCTGAAGGAATGTTTAAGAAGAAAACATTTCTATATCAAATGACTCACCTTTTGGTCAGTGAAACAGAACTAATTCAACTTCTGATAAAATTATTGGCCACAATATCAATTCTTTCAGTAAATAAAACCGAACATTTCGCAAATTTTATGGCCGATACATTGACCTTGTTTCAAAATACAATCTCTTATCAAGTCGGAAGTTGACATACATCTTACATACAGATTGTTAGAACTTTATTTTCAAAATGGATTACCTTTGATATTTTTTCGTTTTTCCGATCAGGTTAGGGGGCACAAGACGGATCTGACCGGTCGAAAGTCGATGCCTACTTACCCATGGAGTACGGAAGCCCAATAGTGCAAACAAAAAAAAATGAAAATAAAAAAGAAATTATTAAATGAAGAAAACGAAATTATTAAATAAAGAAAACGAAATTATAAAATATAAAAACGAAATTATTAAATAAAAACAAATTATTTTATAAAGAAAACGAAATTATTTTATAAAGAAAACGAAATTTTTAAATAAAGAAAACGAACTTATTAAAGAAAGAAAACAAAGTTGTTAAATAAATATCAAAACGAAATTATTAAATAAAAAACGAAATTATTAAATAAAAAACTGAAACTAGAATACGGGTGTGTTATAAAGCATCACTTAGTAATTTTGTTTCGACATTAAAACAAGTGTGGGGGAAATGAAAAATAAAAAAAAAAAACTTAGATAAATGTCAATTTGACCAACGTGGAAAAACAGTATGTGCCCACAGCCTATAATTCGCATTTTGGAAGTAAATGATTCCTAACTGTTCAATTATGTTTACGGAAATTTGATGCTGTGTCGCATCCCCACAACGTCAAAGTTTGAGCCTGTAAGCCTGGACGTAGCGAGAATGGCTGGTTCTGCTTATTAAGGACACCCTAAGAGAACTCATGAATCGCTGAAAGGGCAAGACCTTACGTATCGTATTGCTGAATTCCCCTCGAACTAAACCTAGCGCCCTATATGTATACCCATAAATGATAGGTTGTTGAAACAATTAAGAGAATGATCTGAATACTTTGTGGGATTTGTTATGCAAGTATTTGCATTGTTTCTTCACAACTATCACTTACTTGTAAATATGGATTTGAGAATTTGTCATTTAGAACATGTGAGAAGAAATAGTGAGTGCATCACTTTTAGTTATGCTTTTATTGAATGGATAAGAAATTAGAAGTGTTTTGCTTAATTTTTAATAAAGTAAGCAATCATTAAAATCTACTCACTGTAACCACTTTGACTTGTTTAATTTTTGCACTTGCTCTCTTTAAACTTTTTTATAAAGTCGAACAAACCTGCAAAATCCGATCGGTAACTTATCATTTTACAGCATTTTCGTACTGTGTGATAATTGAAAAATGATGTATAGCCATGGGAATTTCCTAAATGTAATAAAATTCAGCAGTTGTAAACAACGGAATATTAATAGACACGTACATCTTAAATATTTGTGCAATTTATTAGCATAATCTCTTCGATGTTTCATGTCCAGATTCATCGTTTGCTGATAATTAGACCTTCCGAGCTGAGGGTTTAAGAACATGAAGAAAGCTAATGTTAACCTAAAGTTGTCATCACTGGCCAATTCATCAGACTGGTCAAAGTTCACATTAATCATGTAAATGTAAGATAAAAACATAGATCTAAGCATATTGGATAGCCAAAGGTAAAACTCTCCCCCTACTCATTTATTGTAATTATCTACTCCAACTGGTTAGAATAGTAGTAGTGTAGTGTAGATGCAAATACCACACTTGTTTTAATGTAGAAACAAAATCAGGTCATAGAACACGTGTGCTTTATGGAACGATTTATGGGTTCAGGCCCTTACCATGCACACCTATAAATTCCGTATTTTTGTTTCAGTTTTTTATTTAATTTCGTTTTTTTATTTAATAATTTCGTTTTCTTTATTTAATAATTGCGTTATCTTTATTTAATAATTTCGTTTTCTTTATTTAATAGTTTGCTTTTTTTTGTATTTATTTTTGGTTTGGACTATTGGGCTTCCGATTCCCATTATCATTTTTCAGAAGCGCGTGTTGGCTCTGCTCACAATTTGTATTGTATTTGTATTATTTCACTGTTCGTTATCTTCACATTTCATAATATTAATACCACAATAACTAATTATCCCTACGGAAGAAAGTTTATTTTTAAAATAGTCATTGGAATTACCTATCTTTCTTAAGGAAAAAAGTAATATATCTTCAAAGAAGCCCATGGCAAATTCAGTTTCTCAGAATATAAATATAAACTCAGTAGTGACAATTTTTCTCAACATGTTTAACTTTATTTACAAAATATGTCGTCTCAATCGTAAAAAAATCAATGTAATGATTTGCACAATAGCATGTGATGTGTAACTATAAGTAATGAAACTTCTACAATGAAATATGGAGATATCGAACTGTATTCAAGCTCAAAGTCTATTAAAACAATGCAAATCGGGAGCAGAACAAACACTGACCTAAAAAAAAAAAACAGAGGTGGGATTTGGTGCCATAGAGGAATGAGCATCCAATACCAATCTGTCACACCCGTCGTGTGCTCCTTGTCATGATCGGTAAATAACGCAGCTAGGTTAAGGCTGTCCGAAGGCTTAATATGCGTTAAATATATACTATTTTATATTGAGCAATGTTTTGATTTCAGTTTGTAATCTATGTATACTTACACAGTTAAGTTGTAAAGAAAATTGAATAAGGTATTACAAAAAAGCAATTTTGTGATGTCACATGACTGTGTTGATCACGTGACGGACACTTATAAATTTTCTTAAATGTTGCACAAAAATCACATCGGCACAAGTGAAAAACAAAATTATTGTGAACGGCTTGTTACATAAATCAATTAAATGTATTCTTGGGTATGTATAAAGTGCTGGGGGCAAGTCTGAATTTTATTTCATAAGAAAATATTTCACGAGAAATTCAACTTACCCACATACAAGGGGTCATTTTCCACTTATCATCGCAAGTTATACAAAATAGGATAAATTACATACAATCCCCCAGCAAAATTCAGTTAGAAGACATATTTCTCCAGTAGATTCACACAGAATATCTTCAATTAATCCTTATTATTCACTTGTGCCAGTCTAATATATATAAGATTTATAGATTCTAATTCTGTGTACAGACACGTAAGGGGGGCATTTCACATCCTTTTTCCAATTGTTTGAATACGTACATGTTAGGCAAGAAAAAGTAATAACGATATTTATACTGCAAATATTCACCATCATTACAGCCTTAAAACAACAATCTAGACACATGAATTAAACATCAACGTAAAAAAATTCTACATGTGATGTGAAAGGAATGTAAAAGTTATGACACTTTCCCCGTCATGTCAGCTCAAGTATGCAGTGACTTGACGTCATATGCCATTATGACGTCATATCTAGGTAGTTCAAAGAAGTTACCACGGCTGGTGCACTGAGACATTCTTCGGACAGCCTTATCATAGCCGCGAACGGAAAAATCCGTCGACAATTCAGTTTGTAAATAATGGCCTAACAATTAATATGAAAAATGGCAGTCAGCATATGACATAAATGATAGATTGTATTTTCTGACAAGGTCATTGTATTGACCTAGAACTTACAAAATAATGACTATAAACTAGATTGTTTATATTCTTGTTTCATCAACTTGTTTTCAATAACTTACCTCGCTGGTGATGGGGGGTATTATATTGCTGCAAAAGTAAGGTAACTTGACGATTGAAAAATTAAATTCATCACGTTTATTATAAAGCTTTGTTGTAAGATTACCATTAACATCTTTTTCTAGTAAAAACAGATGTGTCAGATTCTGTGATATCTTTTATTTCAAGCTAAGTGGGATATATCGTGTCGACATATGAATGAAAATAACAATTTTTAATTGATAATACAGGCTAATACCTGAATTTTCTCAACATCTAGTTGCTACATTTTTATAATAATAAAATTCTCATGGCCTCTTTCGGCATAAATGAAGAAACAGAACTTTGAGAAAACGAGTAAAACAAATTAACGTAGTATGGAACATTTATCTTCCATTTTCGAAATTGAATATCTTTAATGTTTCTTCAAGTTTTGTGAAAATAAAAACTTCATGACAAACAATCTTGTGCTCGTTATGGTTTCTCTAACAAAAAAATCACTATCGAAGCAATACTTCTCATTACGGCAATAGGAGAATGATTGATTGATTGATTGTATGTTGTTTTACATTCCATTCGAGAATTTTTTCACTCATATAGAGACGTCACCATATACCGGTGAAGGGCTTTAAATTTTGACCTTTACTCGGCACTCAGGGCCATTGAGGAGTAAGGGATCTTTATCGTGCCAACGTCTGCCGTGACACGGGGCCTCGGTTTTTAAGGTCTCATCCAAAGGGCCCACAACTTTCACTTCAAAGTGCCGAGCGCATGGCGAAGGAACAGTTGCTACCCCTTTTTTTCGACTTAGGTCAGTCGCGGCCGAGATTCGAACTCACGACCTCCCGATCACGGAGCGAGCGCTATACCGACTGAGCTACCGTGAACGGTCGGCAATAGGAGAAGAAATGTGTTTGAATAGCTATTAAAGAAAGATACAAAATATCAAGTTTTAATTTTGGTAAGTATATATCAAATGCGAAGGTAGCAAACAGTCATTGATCCAGTGAATCCTAAATCATAAGTTCAGTGAAGAATACAAATCGTTAACAGGAACTTCTGGAAACACCTGAGGTGGAATCCTGTGACTTGGAGGAGTAAGCATCCCTTGTCGACTTGTTACACCCATCGTGAGCTCTGATCAGGCAAAGGGAATAATCCCTTGTCAAAGTGGTATAAATATAATGGCCTGACAATTGGTGTATATGCATCAGTCAAAATACACCCAAGGACAGTTTGTTTTTGAAAAACAAAGTCATTATTACGACTGTAGAATTAAAAGGTTTTCTTATTTAATCGAGATAGTTGAAAACCGAATAACATCAATTTATTTGTCAGTAGCCTGAATGACCTTAACCAGAACATGTTTTTGGGTATCGATTCAGTTTGGGGCCATAAACACTAAACAAATGTCATTGTGATTGATATTAAATAAATGATATGGAATTCATACGAATTATTGCTGCAATCTTTATCCACTTATGTAAACAGAAAAAAGATTGCAAGCCTGTATACAGCTTTTCTCTTTAAGATTCTTTTAGCTTATATGGAAAATGATAATATAGTTCCATCAAAGTAAACTATTCATTCGGAATAAAAATTAAAAAAAAAAACAGTAAAGAGACAGAAATATTGAATGTTGAAAATGCAGTAGAAGGGATGTTTTTTTTTTTTTTTTTTTTTTTTTTTTTTTTGAGTAGTGTCTCAAAAATTACATTTAGTCAATAAATATTGATTAACCTTTTGTCCTTTAGGTAATGCGATAAAAAGATACATACAGTCATTTGAGTAGTATCTCCAGCCGGCCTCATTAGACACCTCAGTTGTGAAGATCTTCTTATGGGTACGACATTTCTTCATTAGAGTATTGAATCCAAAAACGCCACACCCCATTTGACACACTGCGGCACACTCCATCGACGACTGGGAATTATATTCTCCTAAAAGTTCGTTATTTGATTTCTTGTCATCAAATTCTAGTCTTGTGTAATTATTTTGAGAAATAATAGTTGCATGGGACACCGAAACGAAGACAATTAATGCGAGAACACACTGATTGCTCATTTTGTACTTTTTTGAAATTAACCTTTGCGTTCCTGTGGAAGTTTGCTAAATGGACTTTCAACCGCTAAATATAAATATAAAACACATAAACTATTACTGAAACATGATTAGCTAAGCGTTATGTTCTCTGTATCGATTTTCCTGAATTAAATATGAATTGTTAAAAAATATTTACTTTACAAATAAATTTCCAGATATCAAAGTGATACTCACTAGTCATACTGTACCCATGAATGTCCATTCGATATGAATTTTTTTTTAAAATGAATCAATTTGATCGTTATCAACAACAGAACATATAATTATAATAGGATTAAACCAATAAAGTTTTGAAAAGTTTGCTTTGGTAGTTATTGGAAAAAATGAAAATTAAAAAAAAATTACCTTATTCCTCCTTCAATGGCAACGGAAGTCATTTAGAAATTTTCGAATGCTGATTGAACAAATAGAGTGTCTAATCATAATTTCTGTAAATTTTCACCACAATTGTCCAAGCCACCTCGGAAAAGATCTGTGCATGTATTAACCTTTTTCTGTTTCTTTCATTCATGACGGAGTGGGAAATGGTGGGTGGGGGCAAGAAAACTTTGTAAAAGATTGTAAGATATATGTATGTATTCAGGTAAAGTGACACCCCCTTCCCTCTTTCAAAATAGGTATTTCAGGTTTAGGCTAGTTTTCCTTTTTTCAAATGAAATAAGGTTTTCTCTTTTTTGTCGATCAAGTTCTTTTTTCCTTGACTTTTTTGAGGTGGCATAGAGCACCCCACCCCTTTTCCGGGAAATTCCTCAGTTGTGCTAATTCTTTTTTCCGCGGGTCGACATTGCTTTTCCGCGAAAAATCCTTATTTACCTCGAAGTACTAGTATTTTCTCCCCGAGAAATCTTCTATTAACCAGGTAGTACCCTCTGTTCCTTGTCTACCGCAGGGAAGAATTAATGTAAAGGTCTTTAAAACATCGTTAAAGACCAAGTAGACTGTACATGTAGGTCATTTACGCCTAAACCTAGACATCTTCACAATGTCAAGGTTTTGTGAAATCTTTCTTTTTCAAGGATGTTTTGAAGAGGAACGATATCGCAGAACTTTGACATTTTTAAGATGTATAGGTTACAGTAACATGTATAAAACATCGTAAAAAATATGCTCTCTATTCAATGACCCGTTGTTCCTAATAAAGTCATGTGTTGGAACAAATTGCAATTTTGAAATAAAAAGATAAATTACCAGCTGATTACTTCGATTTTGGAATATTTCTGAAAGTGCTGAAACAAAAGAATAAACAAAGGTTCGTATGCATACTTTATATTAAGGATAGGCTCTGCTTTTGGACAGCTCAAATAAAATATTATAATAGGTAAACAAATGAAAACTTACCTAAATCAAACCTCAGAAAAGCAGTGCCAAGTATTTGTGGTGAATTGAATTGTTGGTATTTAAAAATAAAAAGGAGTTAAGAAAGAAGGCCACAAAATCATATTTTTACAATTTGCAATCAAAATCCAAGAAAAAGTTTACCGGTCCTTTAAGCCTTTTACAAAGCTGGATAATAACGGCTCGTCAAGTTAACAAACAAAGCCAACAATTTTGCTTGTGCCAATGTGGAGCGCAGAAAATGAGAAATATGCTTAAAATGTACTCTACATGTATACATAATTTTTTTCCCTTTATGATTCAAAACATTTCAAAGGCTACCATACCAATTGCTTTATGATTTAAGGATTTGTCTTTAGTTATTAAAAATAATTTAGTAAGCATGGTATCACATGTATACAAATACATCGCAATATAAAGTACGTTTATGAAATGAAATTTAATAAAACGGACAAAATGAAATATACCCAAAAGCTGGATTTATTCTAAAACATGATGTTCTATTCTTGTTCATGACGTCATATAAAGCAACGCCAAAATAACGCAACTTTATCATACACCATGCTACTCTCACATTTATATAAAATATAAATAAAGATTTGTACAAACAATTAATGATAATTTCATGAAAATATACACTCTCTGAAAGATTTTTGAGGAATATAGTTTGATTTTGACAGGGGCTGAATTTGGCACCAGAGACACCTTGTTCTTTTTATTGTTGAAAAGATTTTTTTTTATTAAGCACTGTTCGGTGTCGTCACCTTTGTCATTTAGAATGTTCATTTAGACAAAGAAAGTGGAAGTTAACTTTTTTTTATTAATTAATGCTGCAATGAAATATGTAGAGAACGAACAGTAATCAAGTTCAAAAGTCCATTGAAACAATAAAAATCGGGGAGAAGTACAAACACAGATCTTTAAAAGCATCAGAGGTCGTATCAAATGCCATGGAGGAGTAAGCATCCCCTGTTGACCGGTCACCCCATAGTGCTCCTTGTCATGATCGGATAAACGGAGAAATCTCATAAGTTAACCTGACAAACCTTTTGTAATGTGAACAAAGACGCGTGTCTTATTTATCACTAGAGAAAGGAATTCTTGAACTCACAATATTTAAGGATCCGCTGAAGGCATTTTAGAAACAGTTTAAATCCTGTTAAAACTCTCAATATTCCTGATTGTTGTGACATGAAAGTTAAACCCCTACAAACCATTGTTACAGTTATCTAGGATAATTGACTTAAGTGTTTCTGAAGTATGAAACATCCTGAGTACATCTTAATAAATTAAAATAAAAAAAAAATAGTAGCAAAATTCCTTTAAAAAAATCACTCATTTATCCACAATTTTTCAATTGAAAAAGTCAAATTGGTTCGCATACCTTTGTAGAGTGAAAAAAAAAACATCAAACGCGTATTTTATTTTTAGATTTTTTCTCTGAACTCATTTAAATTCTATGTGCAGTTCAATTATGTATGAGAAATTCATTTAACATTTTAAATAGTTGGAAGATGATATGTTACATTTTAGCTTCTGCTTCCTTCATGAACAGCTTTACGCAAAATAAATAAAAATGATTCTCACATTATTGTTCCTGGAGGGTTTATGGATTTGAGATTTATAAAGGGGTATTGATTGATTCCTCATCATTCAAAATTCTTAGTAGGAAGAGTATATTTGATATTTTATGTAATATTTAACTTTATTTCCATTGAACTTTAGTAGACTAAGTGTATTTCTTTGAAATTCTGCTCCTTTCATAAATAGCTTATTACAAGTAGTCTCTCTTTACGAAAAGTGATACATTTAATTCTTCCTCGTAGATAGACGGTTTATTGATTGGAACGTATAAACGTCATTGATTGATTCAATCATCACATAGAATCGTTAATTTATTTAGGGACTAATTAATTCTATGTCAAATTATAAAGACCATTTTATCAAATAAAGATTTATATTTACTGTACAAAGGGAAACCCCTTTCACGAATCATTCACATTTATCAAAATAAAATTATTGATGACATCATATATTTTGAAAAAAAAAATATTTTTCTCTCCCTCTCAATTCGGCGAATTGTTTTTTTTTATGAGCTTTTGCAGTGGAAATGATGAGATGATAAAATACAATATGACGATAAGGGACAACGATCGGTCAAAAAAGCCTACAAATAAAACAAATAGGTGAAGAGGACAAACAACACGGACCTCTGGAGATGCCAGTGGTGGGACCCTGTTTAGGATGAGTAAACATCCCCATTCGACCGATCACATATTATATTTTGATCAGGTAGACAAAGAACTATATACGGTAAGGGCGTATTCCTGCCCCCATAATAGTCAAATTTTGAAAATCTTTTGAAATGAGAAAAAGTGCATATATTGTGTAAAATAATCCAAATTGAGACAATATATTATGAAATTGGAATAATTAGTTGGCTTTTCTTGTCTCTGTGACGTCACAAACTATTTGGATTTCCGTTATTTTTAAAATAGAGGCTAAAATGCACAGAGTTTGTTCAATTTTGACTATAGTATTTATAGAGCGCAAGCTTGCTCAGGTACCATATTCGCATGTTTCATTGATATTATCATTCTACACATTATATCAAAAGATCTAGTCTGAGCAGACCTGCGCTCGATAATTTCCAATCAAAATACCGACGTAAAATACACTATTTTCTCTCAAAATCATTGCAATTTGGAATTTACGTCATTTTATTGACGTCATATCTAACTAATGATGTCATAGTTGATAAAAATATTTAATACTTTGAAGTCTGCAAATATCCACCTGGATAAGAACATAATTAAAGATTTCTCCATCAAAGTTTTATTTTGGGGGCAGATACTGGCCACTACAGAATATAGTCCTTTATTATTAAAAACAAATACCTAACAATGGCTATGAAATATGGCAGTCAGAATACGTGGTATTGGCTAAAACGGTATTATAACAACCATGGAATTTAAAGGAAGAAAAAATACCACTGGTTTGCCCATTTATCAATTCAAAAATACAATTCAATAAATAAATAAATAAATAAAAAAATAAATAAATAAATAAATTAATTAATTAATTGATTAAGGTGCTGATATCGTTATATGTTCTTCATGTCAAAATCAGTTGTTTTAAATTTCCTTTTTTTCTGTACGTTGAAAATATATATTATTTGTTTTCATAACGTAATACATGTATTTCAAATTTATTATTTTTTTTATTATGGTATCGTAAAGATATGTTCAAATCTTATCAAAGAAGGCACTTGCATTTAGGCACGTCTATAATGATAACTTTTGTTATCACATTTTTGTTGTTTTTGTCACATTTTGTTCATCCTCAACATGTCAGTTGTTAAAATGTACGTCACAGTATCAGCGACACAAATATCAGGCAACACATTAATAATTCATAAGATATTTCTTATACTAGACAAAGACATTTTTATACTAAGCAAAAACATTCATTCAAATTACACATTTATACATTATGCGATAATAAAGGGCCAATGTATACCATTTTTTCAATATTCGGACAATTTTTGATGAAATTTTCCAATTATGCTCAATATTATCATATTATCACTTTTTTAGTTCTCGGAGTTAAATGATATGTTGATTTTA